GTTTTGTCTTTTTTTATTTTTATCTTTTATCTCAGTAGCTATAGTACTCAGTTTTTTATCATCTTCATTGTCCTGTACAGTTGGCAACTTTTGTTGTAACGCGGCCTGAGAAAAAAATCTCTATTGAAAAGTTAAAAAACTACATTTTCTTTGTTATATGGCAAACGAACGACCACTTGAATTCTCCTAAAAGGCGAAATATCCGCATTTTAGGTGTATTCAAGTAAACAAAGTGAATCTTAAAAAGAAATCCGCAATTGTGAAACCTTTCCTATCGTTAATTGACGGAGATGCACATAAAGGGGATGTTTCCCCTTCTACGAGTCTACTCTACCGTCAAACCAGAGTGGGTTTCCTTATAAAAAGAGTGGGAAGGGAAAGAATTAAAATTAGGACTCCGGAACCCAAAATAAACATTAGAGTTTTCATTTTGTATTACTAACTAGATACTAGGTATTTATTTTGTTGATAGACAGATTTCCGTGTAAATATCTAAGTAAATTTAGTCGGCCTGAGCTAGCACGATATCAGAATTACTACTCGAGACTATGTAGGAGCGGTCATGGGTAATTTCGGATACCAGGAATACATTCACAATACTCCTCCTCCAGAGCGTCGGTGGCTCAGTGGTTTAAGCACTTGACTTGTAATCTACAGGTCTTGGGTTCGAATCCCGCTGTACCAATGTGATTTTCGATTTTTCATATGTACATAATTTACCCGACGTTCTTACGGTGAAGGAAAACATTGTGATGCAACCTGCACATATCGGCGAAGAAATTCAAAGATATGTGTGAAGTCAACCAACCCGCACTTGGCCAGCGTGGTTGACTATGGCCTAGTCACCCTAACATTAGGGTAGGCTCCGAGCCCCTCGGTGGGGACATATAGTGAGCTGGTGATGTACTCCTCAGTCAGGATATCATCCAAGCTCATATCGTTCAAACAATGTTCTCGCAACCATCCCTATTTTCAAAATAATCTAAGTTCTCACGAAAGTCGCTCGGCGGCGCTCGTGTTCTAATTATGACATAAATTCAAAATGATTTCTTCTGATTGCGACATTTATATATATTTTCTTCTTAACAATACTAAAATTCTATTTAATAATACTTACCGGACATTTTCTAATGATATTCAATACTTTAAGATTGAGATCTTCGTGAAGTTTTTGCTCCGTAAAGTATGATTTGTTGGTTACATTTTTATCAAAATCTATAACACAATTTTGTCTGAAAAAGATATATAAGCCTCGTTTTTATGAACACTACAATATCAGTAAACTTCTTAACTAATTACCACTAAAAGATAAGCCGTATGAGAAAGGTCTTTGCTATTGGCTTGGAATTTTAGTAACTTAACTCTAACTTTGCTGGTATTTGCATTTATGTCCCTTTCTCGCATGATTTTAAAATTTATCTACCCCCTAAGTTCAATAGCGTGGCTAACACGAGTGTCGTAATTGTGGTTTTAATAAAAAAACATGATTCTGAACGCGATCGCTGACATCTTACGTAACAAAGTGTGTATTTACGTATTTAGTACTAGCTGTTTCCGTGCGGTTTCATCCGCATGAAATTATGAAAATGTTATCATTTTGTTCACATTTGTCAAATTATCAAATGTCAAAATGACATGACATGATGACAATCTTATTTCCTTAATGTTGGCAGCAACTTATGGTCTCTTTCCCACATTAGGATTTTATCCAATATATTTACCCCTTGAGTTTAAATGCGTGAAAATATATAGCCTAAAGCGTGACGTAAGTGTAGGGCTTTTTATTACAAAAATAATTATTCAAAAATATGCTGTGATTGCTGACATCTTACGTCACAAAGTAGTGTGTGTTTACGCTTTATTATAATAGTATAGAAGTATAGATATATATGTATATATATATAGATTAGTGTAAAAATATAACATACGTTGAAGAGATATTTCCTTTATCCATTGGTTTATCCACATCTATTGGTTTCAAAGGCGGTGGCTGAAAACGCAAGGTTCTTAGTAAACAAGGCTGAATTAAATTTCAAACATTTAGGGCCTGTCCCACCACTGGCTGATAGAGGCTCAGATAGCTTAATGAAGTCAGATAAGTGAACATAACCCGATATTTCCATCACATATTTTGGATTTGTATTATTATCAGACAATTTACAATCTTCCACTTGTTCTTACAATCCTTTTCTTATGAGAGGATGGGAAGGGGAAGTGGATTTGACGACGGAGGAGATGCATAGGAAGAGGAAATATCCTCTTTATGTGCGTCTCCTCCTCCGTCGTATAAAGGTTGGCGACGCATCTGCAATTGCGGATGTCTATGGGCAGCGGTCGCCTCGCCATTTTGGCGGATTCAGGTGCCCGCTTGCTCGTTTGTCTTCTTATGTTATAAAAAAAAAAACAATTTGGTGGGACAGGCCCTTAAACTGTTGGTCTTAATACGCACCGGTAACTTATTGAAAAGATTATCTAGTTCAAAAGAATTGATGACATTGGAGTTTGATATCTCCGGAGTCGACATTTCGTTGAGAATCCCAACCGAAGACGCTGTAAAAACTTACTAATTAATAAAAAAAACACAATAGAATATGATTGCATTTATGTTTTTTACCAAACGATTTATGTGATCATTCTATTATAAAAGCGAAATTCTAGAAGAATGTTTGTTAGAGTTTGTCGCAAAAACGGAACGGATTTTAATAAAATTTGGTATAATTGGAATATAGTTT